CCCCAAAACCCCAAAACCCCAAAACCCCGGAATTAGAAGGAAAATTGAAATCTAAGGTTTCAGGGTGTTTTTATATATTTTATAGATTATGAAAGAAAGGGTTATACGCTATATTTAAATTGGACTGACAAATTTATTGTTATCCTATTCTTCAAAGATACAAACCGAATTCTTAATCCCTGAAAGAATATAAGATTTGAGCTGAAACAAAATAAACATGATTTATATCACATCTCTCTATGTTGAAATCAGCTCCAGGGTTGAAGGTCTAACTTTTATCCTTGAATTATTATTATTTGTTTTTCTTCTTCCTCACCTGTAGTTCTATGAACAGAGAAGTGAGAGAACTTAAAGATAGACTTCTTCAGCATCTCTATTTTTGTTAGTCCTGGGGATGATAAAAAATTAAATACCATTACTAAATTTTGAACCTTAGCAGGCTGATTATTAATCTTCCATTGTGGCCTGGCTCTCATTTTCAATCACAAAGATATTTTTATCTTTCAGTTGGAATTCGCTATTTCTCTCACAATGATACTTATGTTTAATTGAATCTTTGGTATATTTGTATCATAATTTTCTATATAACCTAAAGGAGGCTATACCTTTTTGTCCCAATTTTAGTTCTATGCACTCAAAAAATATTAAAATACAAAAAAAATCAATTTCAAAGCAATTTTGTTCCATTTTCCAAATCATTCCTCTATTTCCAAAAAGTCCTGCAGCTTCGACCTAAAACTTTAAACAAAACATAACTTACACTCCATTACCCAAATTGCTCCTTGGCTATAAATTTCCTAATAAATCTTTTCAGTATACACCTTAATGGTGCGATATTCTAAAAAACTGAAATAAGCCAATCCCCTTGTCAAGCCCCTCTGGCCCAATCCTCTGTGCTTAAGAGGTGTCTTTCAGTACTTCCAAGTGGTGAAGACAAGTATGGTAAGGATTGGGAGAAGAAATAAAATTAAGATAATTGTAAGTACCATTTTGCTCATTTGTTTATAAAATTCAAGCCAGATTGAGGATTTTGGGGTTTTGGGGTTTTGGGGTTTTGGGGTTTTGGGG